TCCCTGGTTTGTATTTTACTAAGCACTTATCAGGTAGACAGAAAAGTGTTTGGTACTTGGGGAACACAAAGATAAAGGAGGAACAGCTGGGCACCATAGCTCACGCCTGTAATCCCAGCCACTTTGGGAGGCCGAGGTGGGCGGATCACTTGAGGTCAGGAGTTTACCTGGCCAACATATGAAACCTCATTTCCCCTAAAAATACAAAAATTAGCCAGATGTGGTGGCGCATTCCTGTAATCCTAACTACACTGGAGGCTGAGGCAGGAGAATCACTTGAACTCAGGAGGCAGAGGTTGCAGTGCGTCGAGATTGAGTCTCTTCACTCCAGCCTGGGTGACACAGTGAGACTCCATCTCAAAAGAAAGATAAAGGAGAAAAGGCTTTTGCCCTCAAGCAACTTGTGTTTCAAAAGGAATTTAAGTTGTACCTCACTAGCCAAATCAGAAGGTGCACCCATAAAAGTGCTAGAATGTACTCTAAGGGGCACAGAGAGATAAATGTACCCATGCAGAAAGAACCAAATGACAATACGTTGTATTAATATAACCTTAATCTTCATTATATACCACTAAGGTTGAATTGAATTTATTTGTTAAGGAAGAAACCAGGCTAATGCAGTAAGTAACTCACTCCTATAATCCCAGCAGTTTGGGAGGCTGAGGCAGAAGGATCACTTGAGGCCAGGAGTTCAAGACCAGCCCAGACAACATAGCAAGACCCTGTCTCTACAAAAATGTTTAAAAATTAGCCGGGTGTGGTGGTACATACCTGTAGTACCACCTACTCAGGAGACTGAGGCAAGAGGATCACTTGAGCCCAGGAATTTGAAGCTGTAGTGAGCCATTGTACCACTGCACTCTAGGCTAGGCAACAGAGAGGACTGCCACAGATTCCTTCTAACTGTATACATTAATAAACTTGAATAAATATATTAAAGTAATTTTCAAATATTCCTCTAGTCACGATCAGTTGTCTTTAACAACATTTCTCAAACTTGTTATGTTATTCCAAACGCTGCGTGGACTCATGAAAATTTGTAGGAGTCACATCTGTTATTTTCCACTCTAAAAGGAAAAAGAAATATCGCAGACCTATCATGTTGACATTAATCGCTTTTATTTTAAACTTAAATGTGTACAAATATAAAATATGTATAATAAAAGCTTACAGCTTTTATAAACTACAAAACCAAAAGACATACAAATTAAGTTAAAAACTAGAAAAAAATCAGTAATATTTGAATTAATGCTATTAATGTGAGGATATTTTGTTTTTCAGAAGCCAGATCACCGATGTTGAGACCATTATCGGTGGAAAGATATATTTGTGCTTTTCTATGCTTGTGTTTGATTTGATTCTTTTGATTTTGCATCTCTGGCCTAGCATGTGCTGCCTTGGAATTATCACAGTCAGTTTTTCCTTCCTAACGAAAAGCTTATTTTTATCTACTGATTCATTGGTTTGATAAGCCAATTCATTTAATAATGTAACCCAAAATACAATACTGAAAGATAAAACATATCATTGAATGTGCCCTGGGATGAGTGGATTCTACCACCACTTTTCTATTTGCAAACTATTGCAGAACTTTTGTTCTTAGAATAAGCCAGGGTATCTTTTATGCATTATTTAGCATGAGTGCATAATTTTCTTTTTAAATCCATCTCTTTTGTTTTCTCTTTAGCCTATGGTAATTTACACATACATTACTTAACCTCGCTTGATCGTTTTCATGATGCAAGTTAATACTGTAGAAGAAAAGGTTTTTCTAATTGGTAAGCGAAGTGTGCGTAAGTGGCAGATGGGGACTGGTGTTATTATCATATTGAACATCAAGGCCCTGCCAGCCTAAGGGCAGCCAGGTGTGTTCACCGTCCCTTTAAAAGCTCATCTCTGATCACTTTGCACCCAGTGCCCTATAAATACAAACATGGGACCCAAAGTCATATGGCTCAGTCATAAATGTCATCCATCTCGTCTAAAATATTATTATATTGTTTCATGTGCTTTGATCATCAAAGTGAAGACACAACATTTAAAAATTCTTGCAGAGCTTGAGCTTATGTATGCAAATTTCTGGTAGACCAAGGATGCCAGTTTGAGAATCACTGGTCTATAGCATATTGGGCAAATACCTGGTAACCAAGAAGCAGTTCCTTTGTTTTTCTCAGAAAAGATTGGTGACATTTCCGGGATGTCTGCTAACTTCTGTCTCTTCCTCAGCCTTGATCTGCTCTCTTTACAGGCAGTAAACTAATGCCTTCTTTGTTTCTATGTGAAAGGACTTTATAAAGAACTGTTTAGACCAGGAGCAGGTATAAAGCCTAACCACAGTTCAATTAAGTGAACAGAAGAATTTAAATATTTTGACATCAAATGAGAATTACCTTTTGACTTTCTTCCACTGCACTGTAAGCTCCTTGAAAATGGACTTTCTCTTACTCCTCATTGGATTCCCAGTGTATGGTACCATGACTGGCACACAGCAGGCACACAGAAAATGTTCACTGAAAGAATGAATCAATATCAACATAAGAAAGTACTTAGTGGTGTGATGTACATCAGACGACATGTTCCAGTGTCTGGTTCCTGGAAGAATATGACCCATAGCTTGTCATTGTGATAAATTAGCTGGCCTGGTAGAAAACTGGTCTCAGCCTACCTCTCATATATTCTTACCTGAAAAATCAGACCAGTTGCCTTCACAGCCTGCTAGTTTACATCTGGAAAGTGATGAAAACTTTCCCAGTTGGCATACTTCCTCTGGTGCCTTTGTCCTTTCTTTTTCTCACCCTATCATCCTTGTGACTCAAGAAGCGATGATGTTTTTCTTATTCACAGGAAACTTACAAGCCGCAGTCCAGGGCCTGATATCTACCATCACTCAACTCCTTCTGTGTAGCTCCAGTTAAGGAAGGAGGGGAGAGTGCTCAGCCTGTTTGTTTTTTGTCTTGTTCTATTTGCCTGGATTCACTGTGTTGATAGACAAAAGAGATAAGCTGCATATTTGTGGGAGACAGCTTTTGATTCTTCAAGATCAAAGCATAGTGTTACTGACCCTTATAAGAGTAGTTCTTTGGTTAAGTTATTATTCATTTTTCTTCAAGATAACTTTTCTCTGATTTAGCTTTTATTAGCCAGCATTTACATCTCTTATCAGAAAAACCATTCACCAGAATGGGCCTGGGTTTCCATCACGTGTTTCAGATGTATATGATTCCAACACTTGAGGGAAAATGTTCCGCCTGGTCAGGCCTTCACTGAAATAACCTTCAGCAGAGAGAGGCTGGCCTTCTGAGCAACTCCTTTACGTACATGCCTGCCACTAATTTCTAATAGTCTTAAAAAAAAAAAAAAAAAAAAGTAGTTAGCTGCTGGCAATAAAGTACAGAAATAAAAATTTGGCAAATACTAAAGATTAGCTGCTTCATCTATCATATAAAATGGATCTAGCCAGAAGAAACCAAGGACTGAACTCTGTTTGTCATACCTTGTAAGCTGTATGGCTAAGGGCAAATCCACTGACTTTTCTGTGCATTAGGGAATTTTTCATGTGAACACGAAACCTTGCCTTCCACCTCAGGGCCTTCAAGTCAGCAAGCAGTCTTAAGAAAAAATCTTTGAAATTTGGAAATACAAAAATCAGTGGAACTTGGCCAGGCATGGTGGCTCATGCCTGTGATCCCAGCATTTGAGAGGTCAAGGCAGACAGATCACATGAGGCCAGGAGTTTGAGACCAGCCTAGCGAACGTGGAAAAACCCCATCTTCACCAAAAATACAAAAATTAGCTGGGCATAGTGATGCATGCCTATAATCCCAGCTACTCAAATGTCTGAGGCAGGAGAATCGTTTGAACCCAGGAGGCAGAGGTTGCAGTGAGCCAAGATCACATCACTGCACTCCAGCCTGGGTGACTGAGTAAGGCCCTGTCTCAAAACAAACAAACAAAAAAATTGGTGGAACTTTGTGAAAATATCAAATGGAAAAACAAGTTGCTTTGTAGATAAGAACTAAATCTAAATAAACACTTGTATCAGTGATTGGTATTTTACTTTGTGGTAAAGGAATCAGAATATATTGTCCATAGCACTCAGAATAAAATTGCGTATTTGCATTATCCTCTATATTCCAATGAAATAGAATGATTTTAGTACCATAGTTTGTATTTTTATTTTTTTCTTCACCTTATAAAAGTTAATATGGTGTGCTTTAAAATAGCACGATGTAAATAAGGGAAGAAAGCAACTAGGAAAAAAATTATTACAATTGTATTCATTTAACAGATTGAAAATAGTGACATGATGATGACTCATCAAACAAAAAGAAAAAAAACTGGTGTTATCACATTTATCTGTAACAAAATAGTGGTAGAAATAACTCACCTTGTTGTGTTTAACATATATAGGTATATATACGTTTGTAGAGGTATGCACACAATCTATTTCACCAACTGTTGTAGCAAAGTATTTCAGTGTTTATTTAAAAAAGGCATACGCTTTTATACTGAATATATAATGCATAGATACTATCTGCTTCCAATTAGGAATGAGCTCATCACATGTAACTTAACAGTGTGGCTTCAGGAAAATAGATGACTCTCCCAACACAATCCTTTTTTGGAACAGCAGGGGATCAGCCTAAGACTATCGCTAAGATTCAGGCCCACAGTCAGCTTTAACTCAAAGCAGACACTGATTTTATTGGTTGAATGGTATACTATTTATAGTAGTAGTTGGACAGCAAAATGAGGAAGCCAGTGAAAGAATGTTTTTCCCCACAACTTTAGAACTGGGAGGTGTTGATGCTTACAGGATACCCCGGTTGAAGGCAAAGACCATGTCTCTCTTGGATGTATATTCCTAGGGTACCACACAGTAGCTGCCACATAATAGGTACCAAAAAACGTCATGACTATTATAAAAAATGCTCTTTACTACTGAGTTATAGCCTAAAGGTCTACCATATACATTTTGTGCTATTTCTTTTCTTGAATAGGGAGAAGATCCAATTTATCCGAACTGAAGGGACTCCAGGATTGGTGCGCCTTTCAAGCGATGCAGACCTCGTTATGTTGCTGAGGTACGTACATAACACTCACTCTTGAAGCAGACGGTCTCCTGTCATCAGATATCATGGAATATTGTGGAAAATAATATGCCAATATTCTTAAATTATTCTTATTCTTTAGACTTGTGGAAATACATTGAAGATTTAGGGCACTGATTGAGTGGTCATTCACTTCAGGTTGCATTTGTTACACTGAGATCTCTTTAATTTTCTTTTTACCCTGCTTGCAAGGGAGATGGTATTGGAAAAGGGAAAGGTTGTAGTGAATAGAATCTGCCACTCACAGAATGGAACAGAAGGGTATCTGAATAAACCATCTACCGTTTACCCCTCAGTGTTTACCCCTTCTGTTTATATATTCTTTCAAATGTTTTTCTCAAAATATGTTTTGTCCCCTTTTGCTGACTCAAGACATTATTTATTTACCTTGTGGTTTTGAGAGTGTACGTTTGGGAAATCAGATCAGAAAGTTGACATTTGGTCCATACTACTCACTGCCAACTTGATAGCCCTTCATAAAACTGACCAATTGTTTTTTGTTTTTTGTTTTTTCACCCCCCGATGGTTCAGCTTTGGTTTTAAATTTTAGAGTAGTTTTGAAAGGAAACTGGCAAGTTTTCAAAAGACTTTCTCATTTTTTTGTATTATCCCTCAAATGTAGGCAAGCCAAAGTAAAATAATGCTTTGCTCTACCCAGTAATTGGGATACTCATTCCTGTAACCTCCACAGAATTAAAGGGAACGTCATACTGAGCCTTTCAGGCAAGGTTCTGTTTATCCCTGAGTGCTAATAACCTCATTCAAGTATTCATGATGATCTTGACCCTGACCATTTCTAATCCGCCATTCCATAGTTGCCCTATTTGTTGCCGTATTTCTGACCGCCCACGTGATTGTTGTCAGAAAGTTACTTTTTTTTTCTTTATTTTTGAGGCGGAGTCTCGCTCTGTCACCCAGGTTGGAGTGCAGTGGCCCAATCTCAGCTCACTGCAAGCTCCACCTCCCAGGTTCACACTATTCTCCTGCCTCAGCCTCCTAAGTAGCTGGAACTACAGGCGCCCGCCACCACGCCCGGCTAATTTTTTGTATTTTTAGTAGAGACGGGGTTTCACTGTGTGAGCCAGGATGGTCTCCATCTCCTGACCTCGTCATCTGCCCGCCTCAGCCTCCCAAAGTGCTGGGAGTACAGGCATGAGCCACGTTATTTTTCTTTATGTGTAGTCAAAGCATAATTCAAAGGGATGTACTCACTTTCTGTAATACTTCACTTCCGTTGACTCTGAATAGGACCTATGGTGGGGGTAGGCTTCTCAACCTAGTGGGTGGCCTCTCTCCTGTGGTATTGAGCCAGTTCTGAAAGCTGCATATAGTATGCTAGGTGGTGAGGAAGACTACTGGTCAATTAATATTAGAGTGTGATGTTTCTATCATGGTTTGGTTGGTGATAAAATAGTTTAACTTTCTGTTAAGAGAATTCTGGCCAGGATATGCTCTTTTTCTTCATTATAGAAAGCTAAGGTTTTTTTCTTTTAAACTAAGAATTCTGCTTTTGGAATTAGTAAAAAAAGAAGTCATAATTATCACTCACCTATCCATAGTGAAATAACATTTAGATGGTATAGTCTTAAATTTATTATACTATAGCTTAGAATATTTGTATTTTGATAACACAACAGTTTGCATGAGTTTCTATGCGTTATGTAGTAGAATTCAAATGTATTTGAATTCAAATAATTCAGAGCTCATTCATACATAAAGAGCAAGGCTGCATTTTCCCCTCTTTGGGAAAATAAGCAGGTTCTCTAAAGCTAATGGGCCTTTGGAGAAGTGTGAGAAATTTTCTTACGTATAATAGTTCTATAATTATTGCATACAAATGATGTCATTAAATTCTAGACTTTTCATGTGGGTGATCACATGTGTTTATTATTTTAATAATAGTAAACAACACAATGCATTATATGGACATACTTAATAAGTAATGTAATTAGTGATTATTGAAAAATTTGGGGTTTTATTCATGTCCTCAATTCTTTATTTTTTATTTATTTATTTATTTATTTTATTTATTTATTTTTTTTGAGATGGAGTCTCACTCTGTCACCCAGGCTGGAGTGCAGTGGTGAGATCTCATCTCACTGCAACCTCCACCTCCCGAGTTCAAGCAATTTTCCTTCCTCAGCCTCTCGAGTAGCTAGGACTCCAGGTGTATTGCACCACACCTGGCTAATTTTTTGTATTTTAATAGAGATGGGGTTTCATTGTGTTGCCCAGGCTGGTCACAAACTCCTGAGCTCGGGCAATCCACCCGCCTTGACCTCCCAAAGTGCTAGGATTACAGATGTGAGCTACAGCGCCCAGCCCTTTATTTTTTATTTTACTTTGAAATTGGAATGATTTGAATTAGTGACTACAAACTTCAGTCAGCATACTTGTCACTTACATAATGGAAGCCTTTGTGTCTATTTTAATGTTTTGTCTAATTTCTTAAAGAGGAAAATCACTCCAGGTACAAATTGGCTTGATTATCAGTAAGCTGCAATGTAGAGATAGTATTGCTCTAGGACATTATTCAGTTCAAAATAAACCCATGTAAAGTTATTTTCCAATAAGGTTATTTTAAAACCCAATAATTTTTAAATGACCTTGTTGAATTTGTTATTGATTTTTCTGTTTCATGTATCTTTTCACTAATTCAATTCATGTAAAAAATGTACCTCTATCAGAGCTCATTTAAGAAATGATTGATAAATTTGGCTACATAAATATTTTTAAATGGATATAATGAAAGATACCACATATAAAGGCATAGAGAAAGAAAATCAGCTGGATTTTTTTCAACATGTAAAAAAAAACAGATCAGCCGGTCGCAGTGGCTCATGCCTGTAATCCCAGCCCTTTGGGAGGCTGAGGCAGGCGGATCATGATGAGGTCAGGAGATCGAGACCACTCTGGCTAACTTGGTGAAACCCCATCTCTACTTAAAAAAAAAAAAAAAATATATATATATATATATAGTAGCTGAGCGTGGTGGCTCACACCTGTAGTCCCAGCTACTTGAGAGGCTGAGGCAGGAGAATCACTTGAACCCAGGACGCGGAGGTTGCAGTGAACCAACATCGCGCCACTGCGCTCCAGCCTTGCAACAGAGCTAGACTCTGTCTCAGAAAAAGAAAGAAAGAAAAAGAAAGAAAGAAAGAAAGAAAGAAAGAAAGAAAGAAAGAAAGAAAGAAAGAAAGAAAGGAAAGAAAGGAAAGAAAGGAAAGAAAGGAAAGAAAGGAAAGAAAGGAAAGAAAGGAAAGAAAGGAAAGAGAAAGGAAAGAAAGGAAAGAAAGGAAAGAAAGGAAAGAAAGGAAAGAAAGGAAAGAAAGGAAAGAAAAGAAGGAAAGAAGGAAAGAAGGAAAGAAAGAGAAAGAAAGAGAAAGAAAGAAAGAAAAGAAAACCAGATTGTGGATACATAAAGAAGACCTTTAAAAGAAGATAACCCAATAGAAAAATAGATAAAGGATATGAAAAGGCATAGAAATGGAAGTGTGAATAGCCAATAAACCCATGGAAAGATGCTAGTAATTATAAGTGTAGTTTCAAATAATGAGATACCATTTCACGCTATTAGATTTGTAAAAGTCTGAAAGTCTGAAATACCTAATGATACATAAGAACTCTCGTATTGTCTGGGCTTAGTGGCATTGCAGTTTCTACAGACTTGTTGGAGTACAAATTGACAGTGTCTTGTACAGCTGAATAGAGCTCAGGTCTCTGGTTACTCTCTTTTAGGAGAATATCATAAACAGACATTTCAATATGGAGAAGAAAGAAGACAATTAAATGGTCTAAGATCCAAATCCTCACATTTGAAAAATAGTAGCCAGGGTAAACAAGGGAGCTAATTATTTTGTGATTGTAGTTATTTAGGAGGTGTTTTGTTTTATTTTGCTTTTAATTATCCAGTTAAATCCTAAGCCCTTCGAAGGCTGAGACCCTATTGTTTATTTATTGGAATGAGGATATATAACATACTTTGTGTATTTATGAGGAGTTCTCAATAAACATTTTCTATTTTGTGTTGGAATCCTGTTTCCAAATCTGAAAACCTAGGTATGATTTTCAAACAAACATGTGCACTCAATATATTTATATATTGAAATAGTAAAATAAAATCACGTCGTCCAAAGTTCGTAGGAACACAGTCAAATAGCCGCAGGGTTCACAAAAAGTACCACAGCCAGCCATTTTGTCCCAAGAATTACCTGCAAGAGAAAGGGGGTAGGTGCTCTCTTTGGTATGTAAACCGAATCTTGGATGGAATATTCTACCCCGTTGGGATTTAGGCTTTTCAGCACTACTTTGGCTGAAGGACCATTTTGCTTCTTGTCTTTCCCCAGCTTATTTGAAGAAGAGATAATGTCATATGTGCCTCCACATGCCTTACTCTACCCCAGCTACTGTCAGTCCCCACGTGGCTCTCCCGTGTCATCTCCTCAGAACTCACCAGGTGAGTCCACCTGCTGCTCGCAGTGAATTCTCTGAGGAGTGAACCTTCAAGCCAGACGTTCTCTCCTCCCTAAAGACAGGACAGGAAGGGAACACTTCAGATACATCTTTGGTATTAGCATAGATACATGTGTGTATTTCCTGTCTCTTAAGAGTGGCTTATTTCCATGAGTATTCATTTTGACAAAGAGATAATGAATAGGAGGATTAGTGGTATGACATACTCAGATATAGAATTTACTTTTCATGATGTTATGTCATACAATATCAGGACACAAAATATTAGGTTGCTTTTTGACTTTAGAAAGTTCTAGTGAAGAGAACTTTTTTGATATACAATAAAGATAAAGTCTCCACTCTCAAGAAATAATATGGAATTGAAATTATTCAGTGTAATAGACTTGGACATTCTTTCCTACAGTATTCATTAATTGCATTAGATAGAACAGAGATGGATTGGCAAATAGAACATGTTGATAGGTAAACTGAAATGTGTACATTCAATCTCTTTTTGAAAGAGATAGGCATGAATGAGTGAGCGAGTAGGTGGATGAGCAAATGGTAGAAAATGCAGCTTGGCAAATAAGCTTTGAAAATGAAGGCAGTCATGATGTTGATAGAATATTAGCTGTATATAGGTCCTTATTATAGGCAATGCATTGTTCACACTTTAACAGCTATCAGAATTGAAAACGATTTCAGTAGAAATGCAAACTCCATATGTGTCACTAAGCTGCTGTATGTTCTTTGGTATATATAACATGTGTTTTCACATACTGCAATGATAATGAAGCTGCAGCCTGATTGGATACTGCAAACAGGAAAAGATCTATTAATTTGTTCATTTAACACAGATTTATGGAGCATCCAACTATGATCCAAGCACTGAATTAGACTCTAGGACTACAGAGATGAATAATACAGTTTCTTCCTTTGAAGAATTCATGGTGTGGCACTGAGTCAACAAATGACTCTGTGAAGCTCTGTAGTTAGTCGTGTAATGAAGAAATGTATGAGAACACAGCTGTGGGAGCAATTATTCTTTCAGGGCTGGGGATGGAGTATTTGGGGAAGTATGAAGTGGAGCCTTGAAGGATGATGAATAGGAGTTTACCAGGTGGACCAAAGAAAGAAGGGCATTCTAGTGAAGAGGGTAATGTGTTGGGCCATTCTTGTGTAAGTATAAAGAAAACCTGAGGCTGGGTAATTTATAAAGAAAAGAGGTTTCATTGGCTTATGGTTTTGCAGACTATGCAAGCATGGTGCCAGCATTTGCTTGACTTCTGTTGAGGGCCTCAGGAAACTTCCACTCATGTCAGAAGGTGATGGAGAGCCAGCATGTTACATGGTGAGAGTGGGAGCCAGAGAGAGCAGCAAGGAGGTATCGCACACCTTTAAACAATCAGATCTCCTGTGAGGTCACTCATCACCAAGGGAGTGGTGCTAAGCCATTCATGAGGGATCCGCCCTTATGATCCAAACACCCCCTACAAGGCCCTACCTCTGACACTGGGGATTATATTTAAACATGAGATTTAGAGGGAACAAACATCCAAAAAACCATATCAGGTAGCATAAACTAAGCCATAGAAGTATGCAAGTAGTGTAGGAAATAGATACACGTGTAGTTAATAGATACAAGGGAAGGGAAGTTCTCAAAGCTCAGTTTGGAAAGGTAGGCTAGGGCTGGTTGGTCATTGAAGCATTATTATTATTATTATTATTATTATTATTATTATTATTATTATTATTTTTTGAATCAGAGTCTCACTTCGTCGCCCAGGCTGGAGTGCAGTGGCGTGATCTTGGTTCACTATAACCTCCGCCTCCCAGGTTCAAGCAATTCTCCTGCCTCAGCCTCCCCAGTAGCTGGGATTACAAACACGTGCCACCATGCCCAGCAAATTTTTGTATTTTTAATAGAGACTGGGTTTCACCATGTTGGCCAGGCCGGTCTCAAACTCCTGACTTCAAGTGATCTGCCCACCTCGGCCTCCCAAAGTGTGTGAGCCACCATATCCAGCCAGCCTTATTCTATAGTCCATGTGAAGCCACTGAAAATGTATAAGCAGAGGAATACAAATAATATCCTGTTTTTCAAAGATCAGTCAATCTGGTGGCAATTGGGAGGATAAATTAGAAAATGAGAGACTGGAGACAGATTCTCAGAGAGGCTGTTTCATTAGCCAGAGTAACATGATGAAAGACTGGCCTAGGCAGTGGAGATGGAGACCAGGGAACGAATTGAATGGATATGTAGAATGCAGAGACATCAGGACTTTGAGTAGAGGTAGGGAAGAGTCAAGGAGGATTCAAAGGCCCTCACTACCTAGGCTACCAGGCAGATGGTAGCACCCTCTGCCAAGAAGGGGAAATGGTTAGACTCAAATGGGAAGATTGAATGAGTTTGGTTTTGGACAAGTTTTATTGAGAAATCTTTGGGCCATCAATGGCAGATTCCCAAAGACAGCTGGAAATGGCAGCCATGGCACACAGGGGAGGTTGAAAACAAGGAGTTCAGTGTACTGGTGGCAACTGAAACCTAAAGTATAGATTAGAGCAATTGGGGAGAAAGTCATTGAAAAGGAGAGGAAATAGTGGGTGATGACATGAGAAACTTCAATATTTAAGGGATGAGCTGAGACAGAGGAGCAAGTGAAAGAAAGAGAGCCAACACATGTTGAATAGAGTTAGGAAAGTCTTTTCAGGGGAGCCGAGTTTCACAGAGGAGTGGTCAGTAGAGCCATATGCTCAAAGGGCTCAAGAAGTCCCAGCTACTCATGGGGGCTGAGGTGGGAGGGTTGCTTGGGCTCAGAAGGTCGAGGCTGCGGTGAGCCATGATCACGCCACTGCACTCCAGCCTGGGCAACAGAGTGAGACCCTGTCTCAAAAGGGGGGTGGGGCATCTGAAAAGGATGAGATCTGAAAAGAGGCGTCATTTCGATTTGAAAATCATGATGTTATAAATGGTCTTTGCCAAAGAGATTCTGTGAAGTAACAGGTTATAAACCGGATCTTGATTGGTGACAGATGATACAGGATCTGAAGCAGAAGTCAAATGCTCTTTTCACGAAATCTGGAGGTAAAAAGAAAGCAAAATAGAACAGTAGTTAGGAGAAGAGAGAGGGAAGGGATTTTAGGTTGGGAAGTTGAGCATACGTGTGCAGAGGACACAGGACGTGAGTGGAAGGAAAGTGGTTTGTGGAATAAGGCAGGCTCATGGACAGCATGACACTGAAGGCAGAAACACAGGCCAGCTTTGAAACAAAATAGGGATACTGTTTTGATGGCACAGGTTGAAAGGAAATGTATGACACTACAGGTAGGTTTAAAGGTTTAGGGGAAAACTTCATGAAACTCCCAACTGGCCTCATTCTTTTACCAGCTATCTGACTTTGGGCAGGGTACCTCCTTCCCTGAGCCTGGATTTCTTTTTCTGTAAAATAGGGATAATAATAATTACCTCACCTCTCATGATTATTTTTGGAGAACACTTTGGTTGGTGCTTGGAACATAACAAGTAGCCAATAAAGGTTAATGTGTCGCTTTTTCTTTCTTTTTTTCTGGAAATTTGATTCTGAGAAGTATAGTTTGTTCACATTTGAACCATTAATAACTGGAACAAACAGACGCTGATTTGCAGAGCTGTCTGCTTAGATACTTAATCATTCAGAGTGGTCTTTGTCTTAGAGCCTATGCTGGGGTTTAAAGTGGACCATCCCTTTACCTATGTTTTATGGTTAAAGACGTGAAGCCATGTGGATTGTTGCTTGTGCCAGTCAAGGCTGTCCTTTTCCAGGCCTTTTGTGTGGCCTGTCTTCCCTGAAGAAAAGGTAGATCGCCAGATGCTGCCCCTTCCATGCCCTTTAAAGGCATGCATTGAAGACTGTACACATTCTTCAAGACTGTATGAGCATTCTAAATGTGGCTAAGTTTACTTCCTCATTTAGCATCGCAAATGCACATGAGTAATCCTTGGTGACAATCAAATCCATTCTAGAAACTTACATTTAGAGTTAAACATTTTCCAAAGACATGTGTAACCCAAATATATCTAAATTGCTAGCAGTGTTTGTGGTGGTTTTAATTTTCAGGAAGAATCATCTCCGTATTTTTGGCCTACTCTGTTTCAGTGGGCTTTGTTTGATCTTGAAACTGGGTTGTATGGCCTGATATCAATGGAAGTCACTATAACAAATTCCACATGATACCAGGGCAGGCCTACCTAACCTCATTTCCCCTCTGGAGGAATCTTCTGTTTCTTTGAATAAAATAGCTTCTCCTTCTACCAGTATTCCTGAAGGTTTTGTGAAAGCAACATTTCAAACAGATTTTTTGAAGTGGTCTGATCCTCCTTGTGACTATAATTTCACCCCTTTTAGTGGTGTGAGAATAATATCGTGAAAATTATGACAGTAATAAATTTTAATGAACTTCATTGAGAATTCCTAGGAACCTGGTAAACTTTCCACACTTTTCCTCATTCCAAGCACATTGACATGTATTTTCAAGTGCAGAAGAGAGAGGGGCTTTGGAAACTTTGACTCACTGCTTTTTGCAGCTGTCAGAGTGCTCACCAAAATTTGTCAAAATTTTGGAATGTGAAGGTTTGTTTTTCTAGGACCATTATAATGCCAATCCCAACCTCAGTGATGCCAGAAGGAAAAGATCTTTGCAAACACCATGTGGCTTATTATGCCAAATATGGGACCCAGAAGTTTATATAAGCTGCACATTTCTAGGAAATTAAATGCAATAACACCTAATTTATCTGATATTATTGGAGATGTGCTCTCTTATGTGGATTTTCCAGGTTACCAAAGCTGTGATTTTAACTGTATGAGAAGTTGTTTAACCCACTATTTACTGAAACTCTTTCATAAATGTATTATATTTCTCTTTACTTTCCTATACACAGCACATTGAGGATATTTCATGGTTTGGGGGATCATTGTGCCCATGAATCATGATGCAGAGCTCTTGTTACTTGACTAGAGCTGG